ACTTCAAATAAAAATGCTAGAAAATTAAAGAAGTAAGTTATGGTGGGGCTTTGCTAGGAATATCAGGCAAGTAGGGCCCTAACTAAAATAAGCTTTGTACAAAAGGATTAAAGTTAACTCAATTTCCCTAAAGAAAAATTAGTATAAATTATATAAAGAGACGCTGGGTTTCAAAGAATCCCTTAGTATAGTGATATTGCCATATTTTCCATTTCGTTTGAGAAGACGAGAAGGTATTTGACTTTTTTTGAATGTTTAATTATGCGAAGAAGACCTCGAATCACCGTCATACGACCCTGATTACTCCATGACGAGCTTTTAGTCCGTTATCTGACGGAGATCGTCGAAGACATGATTTGGGTGACGGTTTTATATTTGTCCTATATGCATGTAAACGGGTTAAAATGATACAGGAAGGGGAGAAAATGTGGTCGCGACTTTTATGTATGTAACTAAACTAGCGTATGATCGATTAATCCTGGGTCTTGTTAGAGCTTATTAGATGCATTTTCGTGTGTCTATTCAACAAGCACAAGTTGATTAGCAATGTTAGCTCCAAAACAGACTCCAGGTTAGTCAGGTCTTCTTCTCTCGTTTAGTGGCTCTTCCTTTTCCATTTCCTTCTCTCTCTCTCTCTCCCTATCCATCCATCTATCTATTTCCAATTCTATTTTAAAATCTTGGAATTATTATTTGCCCTTTAAATAAGAGTCGGAATTCATTCACAGGAAAAGAGAACATGAGGATAAGTCGGAAAGTGGTCAACCTGCCCAGAATATCATTTGAATATCACTGAGAAAGTTCTATCTAGAGGTCTTAATTATGCTTTGCCAAATAGTAAGAGCTTCACTAAAGAGATTTTAGTAGGAATTATTAGTTTTACTGACCAATTAGCCGAAAAAATTAGAAGTGAGATTGAAATGCAGGCTGTTTCTTTAATTGAAAACAATGTATAAACACCCAACAAGTATAGGCGGGTTAATAATATCATAACAACACGAAATAATCGTTTGGGGGGAAGACAGAGGAGCAGTAGTTTTATGGATAGGGGAGATTATATAGAAAAGGTGAGGCGAGCTTAAGCTGATTTTGATACATATAGAATAATAACTAAAGGACAGAAACAGTAAAATCGAGACTTATGAGTTGTCTGCAACCATACATTAATAATGGAGAATTAGAGAAGTGGAAAATAAATGCACTTTTCTAACGTGACGCTAAGCATCATAATGCATATGGTCTGTCCAAAATCCACAAAAAGGGGGCGCCATTTAGTATCATTGAAAACAATAGGGATGGTGTGATGCATAGAGCATCCCGATTCCTTTATGGTCAAGTAAAGCAAATCTCAGGTTTATTAAAAATTTTCTATAAATTATTCTTATTATTTTATTAGGTTAATAGACGAGCAAATAATTGAAAAAAGAAGATTTGCTTGCAAGCTATAATGTAGTATCGATGTATACGTATATAAAGGTAAATGGGCCCATACAGGCGTTAGGATTAACCTTAGATATACGCTAAATTATACGAACAAACAGAAGGATTAGTTATGAGATCGTGTTTGTCTCCAGTTTAAGCTAATAACTACATGGCTCAATTGGAAGTCCAGCTTTTTGAAGAGTCACTCCTGATTCCGAATCTAGTGGTTAGATATATGGATGATTAATTTGCTATCTGACATCATGGCAAAGAGTGTTTGGAAGACTTCCTTAGGTTAATGAATAGAGTAGACAAGGCGACTAAATTCACTATGGCGTTAGAGAAGGACATTAAGTTACCTTTACTAGATGTCCTAGTTAGTAAAGGTTGGAATAAACTATGTAGTAATGTATGTAGGAAACCCACAACTACTAGTCTCCTTAATTTCTTCTCGAATCATACTTCCGATGATAAGGTAGAAGTAATCAAATCAATGATAACAGGGAGGTAACATCTAGCGGACGAAAACCATCTGGAAGAGGAGTTAGGAAGGCTAAGAAAAATCTTGGTTGAGAAGAATTATTAGTCAGGATTAATTGTTAACAATTTCAAAATAATAAGAAATAGGGTGAAAGGAAACCAAAACAATAACCAAAACAAAACAATAAATTAAGAACTCTTTGTTCAGGTTCCTAATGCTATCATCATGGATATTTTCAAGAAAAATAGGCGAATTATTGAAGAAATGGAGCGTCAAGACAATGCATAAAGAAGCAATACCGCTTTCCTCGATCATGCCTTCTTTTAGAGAATCTTCCGACGCACTCTGCAGATCAGATTCTTATAAGGTCTTGTGCTCATCTGGTAGTGTTTATATAGGGAGAGACTTGTCGACACATACATAAAAGGCTATTAGAACACAGAACCGCTGGAAATGATTATGGATTCAGAAATCAGAGGTGGCTGAATATGTGGTCAGTACAGGACACCAGATAGAGTGCTCTAAATCCCAACGTTTTGCCGGATATGGGGACTTTACAGGTAAGCGGGAGATGAGAGTCGATAGAAATTAACAAAACAAAAGAAATTTTGAATAAGAGAAATTAATGTAGGAAACTAATAACTATCTCTGGCTACAAAATAGGATGTGATAAAGAGAAGGAAAAGTGACAGGAAGAGCCACTGAGTAAGAGAAGACTTGACTATGCTGGAATCTGTTTTTTTGACTTTAAATTGCCAATCAACTCGTGGATATTGTATTAACACGCATCCAAGGAGCTCTAGCAAGATCCAGGACTACAGGATCATACGCTAGTTTATTTATATAAACAAAAGTTGTGACCACATTCGCTCCCCTTCCTGCATCACTTTGATCGGCTTACATGCATGGAGGACAAGCAAAAAACAATCACCCAAGTCACGGAATGCCTCATTAAGATCGCAAAGTGAGGTATAAGCAGTTAGCAGGATCTCAGCTAGTCACCTTTCTTGGTTTCGGTTTTTAGGTGAATGTTCGAGAATAATGGTTTATGGCTCTAGCGATGTCCGTTACATGAAGAACGAAGCTTGGGACGAAGTCATCAGGGTTGTAGGGCGATGAGCCTAGGTCTTCTTTGCACAATTCAACAAAGCAGTCCTTCTTCCGTATCCGATGGGTCCATTCCTAGAATCCCTTCCGCCCGCCTTTTCAAGTGAAATGAAAAGTATGCGAGTAGATATGTCTGAAAAAAATTTCTATTACGAAAGAGATAACCCAGCTGTATTAGAGCGTCACAAAGACAAAAAAAAATTTTGTTTCCAGTGGTAGTTAGACAAATTCGAAACGAGCTTATAAAGCCGAGTATAGGGCTTGAACATTTGTAGCTCTTGAAATAGTAGACTTTAGAAATAAATCTAAGCGCTTATATCAAGTTCATATTGAAAAATGAAATGTTACCGCTTTTGATCGTCATATCACAAATTATGAAACCTTATGCTTGACATTTTTAAAAATCACAGAGCATACTCATCTTTTAACAAGTAATCTCTATCTAACCGCAACACCTAAACTTTAACACCATCTAAGAATAATTCTGCTAAAGAGCAGTCGACAAATAGGCGATTTAATGATGATTTGATGATTAAGCACCCCAGTCGATATTAAATAAGTTTGGAGGAATTGAAGAAAGCGATGTTTCTCGGTAAAATGCCGAAATAGAAATGCATTTTTTTAATGAGGGAAAACGAATTCCGAAAAAATCTACCATGCTTGTAAGAAAATCATGTAAACAGGGTAAAAAGCACAGTCAATGATCAACCAACTCAGCGATGCGGCAAAATGGCATGCGTTTTGAAGGTGAATAGGTCAGGATGAAAGAAGTCGAGCTTCAACATGCAAGTGAGGCTTTCCAATTTAGCTCGAGCCTTCTCAAGTGAAGGTAAACACATTTCAAGATCAGCCAGCCTCTCCTTTCTCTCGAACCCCGGCTCTCATCTGTCAGTTTCGTCGACTGCAAAAGTGGAGAGCTCAACATGGGAGCAAACAGCAAATAGGGACTACCCGGCAGGAGAGGGAGAACGAAAAGAAGAAGAGGTGGAAAATGGCTTTGCAGGACGGCTACCTGACTTCACAGTACGCTGATTCGGTTCCACCGCACTGCCAGCCTGAACCAGTGGCTGTCTGCCCTGTCGAAGAGCTAGTTCAGCCTGTATCTCCTGGTGAGCACGAGTAGGTGAAAATGGCTTGTTCAAACCAGAAGTTTGATTTCGCACCCCCCCTTGAAGTGGTCTATTCACAATCGGTGCTTCGCCGACGCAAGCTGAACCAGAATGCCATAACAAAGGCCCAATGACGACGAGGAAATCAGAGGGCAAAAGGTCAAAACGTTGGAGAAATAGCGAATAAAAGTTAAAATTGCCAGGAGGAGTTGAATAGTTGACGATATAGAAAAAAATAGATGGATGACAGACAAAGGTGAGAAGAATTGTAAGCAGAGAAAAAATAATCATACATATCAAATTTCGCCATCAGAGTGTGATAACTTAAATTCATTTATTCTTCACCAAGGAGAACTAGTATAGGGATCCAACTAAAAATGCAGAATGTGCTAATCGATCTCCATCTTTGTACTTTGAGAATCTATCACAACAAATGATCCGTTGGGGCTAGGGAAATAGGAAAGCATAGAAAAAGCGTCATTCAATGAACTTGTCTGAGCTTCACATAATTATAAAGGTTAGTGAGATTTGGACGTCGATTCCATCGAAAGAATGCATAAAATTTGCCTTAGAGACAACGTCAACTAGAATGCTACAGGAAGGCCAATCGAAAGATGACCGGGAAGAATCAAATGTCGCCTTATGGTGATATCGATCTTTGAACCCTTTCATCACGCACATTCAATGAAAGTGGAAATGAGCTCAAGACTTATAAACCAACAGAATACTAAAGAAGTTCAACTTTTCTTTTTATATATCACGATACGATAAGCAAGAATCGCCTGGGTCATCTGATAAAGGAAAAGGCGTTTCAGATCAGTAATTCATGATAAACTATTCGTGACTTGAAAAACCAATGAGTGATTTGGAAATGTAGATGCAAAGTGCTATACAATTCCAAGCAAAATCCATACGGTAAAAGTATTAAAGGCTCTCAAAAATAGGCTATAGGGGAGATCGAAAAAGTACTATTTGGCTCAAACTTAAACTGTACTATTTTCTCGAAGGTATGAAGACCAAGGTGTGGCCTTTTATGTGGCCAGTCTCCATTCGTTATATAGAAGTTGTTTGAACTTGTTTTCGCAACTTGGCCATATTGGTAGAAATACTTAGAGGAACGCACCTAGTCCGGAGTCTATAGTATGGATCATAATTTCCAGTCGGACCGTGAACGTGGTACATTGCTAGACGTTTAGCCGGCATCGTCAACGATCATTGCTAGTCTTAGCATCACACTACAAATCGTGGGCAATTATCTGCTAACCAGTTGTGGTATATCCCCTTCTGTCCTAGAGTATTCATTAATCTGATATCCTCGGTTCACCATTTAGCTATCTAATTTCCTAATTGTTTATTTAAATGTGGTATGGTGTGCTCTTTTTAGCGGCTGTCAGGAGACTTCTCAACACTCCATTTTTACGCAGTCCTCCTTCCATACTTCTTATCGCAGTCTCCCTCTTACCACGTTAGATCCGTCTTTTAACTCCCTGGTTCAAGTATTTCACTCCACTCCTGTCACCATATCTCTGCTATTCGAGGCGTTATTACCCCTCTCCTGCGTCTGGGTGACTAATTCGAGGCTAAAGCCTGTGAGTAAGTCTCATGGTCAAGCCATTACGTCATGAAGCATGTCTATGGTAAAACAGGCCTACTGTCAGTCAACTAGCTCTGGTATCCGCCGCGTCTATCCTGTTTCTATCCCTGATACCAAATCTATGACTTCTTATGCCCTAGCCTGTCATGGGCCAACCAATAAATGTTATGGTTCAATATTGAACCTAGTCAATGCAAGCAGTATTAGAAATAGAAAGATGATAGACGCGGCGGAGACCAGATCTAGTTAGCTGGCAGTAGGCCTGTTTTACCATAGACATGCACCATGAGACTTACTCAAAGGGTTTAGCCTCGAATTAGTCACCCAGACGCAGGGGAAGGGTGATACCGCCTTGAGTAGCAGAGATATGATGACAGGAGGCGAGTGAAATACATGAACAAGGGATATAACAGACGGATCTTACGGGGCAAGAGAGAGATTGTGATAGGACCTAGAGAAAGAGACTCTGATCGACATTCCCAGCACAAGAGTGAAGGGTTATGAGGGGGGTGAGAAAGCTAGTGTGGAGTGTTGAGAGTTCTCAAGGCAGACGCTAAAAAAAGAACACCTTATCACGTTTAAATGAGCAATTAAGAAATTGTGATAGCGAAGTGGTGATCAGAGGATATCAAATAACAGAAGGAAAGATACCACGATTGTTTAGCCTGCAATTGGTCAAAGAATTGGCTTCACTGGTCTCTTTAGGGAATTGTACTGTCGTGCTAAGACTGGCAAGACTCGATGAAGATGCCGGCGAAACGTCTAGGAATGCGCCATGTACACAGTCCGACTCGTGAAATTATCATTAATACTATGGACTCCGGACTAGCTTCGTTCCTCTTAGTCTTCCTACCAATATGACCAAGTTGCAAAAACAAGATCAAACAACTTCTGTACCCTTTTCTGTTTTTGAAAACTTAGAAAACATTATCCACATGTGAGTTTGGGCAACTAAGTTCTTCGAGAATGTAGAATAATGGCCTCCTAGTAACCGCTATAATATGCAGGGGGGTGGACGATGTGGCGATGGGTGTCTCATTAATATTCGACACCGTCCAATGCCAAAATGCTGTACAAAGCTACTGTTTGATGGGATGATCAAGATAGTATGGGTAAATTATCGGATGTATGTAGAATATACGATGCGACGGAATTTTACATCTTCTTTTATGCAGAACAATCAGCGAATTTTGCGGTATATACAGCAAGAACCTATGCATAATGGTTGCAATAAAGAAAGGCATAGAATGTGCTATCGAGTGTTGCACTATTAAATTATGCAGTTGGACTCAGGCAGATTTTGTGAATTTAAAGAGTTTCACTGGTAAAATATGAGAAAATAAGAAAGAGCAGGAAGAGAGTACATGCTGTGTGACTCAACTTTTATTTTAATGGAAGTGAGTAAACTTCGAACTATGAGTAGTTCACCTTAGGTTACACAAAAACAAACAAGCCTTACGATGCAATTTAATACAATTAAGTATATGGGAAATACAATTCTAGTGCAAATTTTATTATCGTTTACAGAAGACACAGCTGCCAATATATTGAGATAGAACTTTGCAACTTTAGTATTATTCAGATAATAGGAAATTATAATAGTTAAAACGATGAAGCGGCTGGACAAGTCCATAGAAGATTCTTAACTCTAATCGCAAAGCTTCGACATATACAAATAACTCTTTAGAGCCCTTTATATCAGTATTACCAACGAAAGCTTAAGAATTGCGCTAAAGAATAGTCTGTTATTAAAGAATCATTTGTAGTAGTGTACAAAAGAAAAGAATATTTATATTTTTAAACACACTTGTGGAGAACAGCCAGGGAAGTTGAGACAGCTTTTATGAAGAGTAGAAAATTTCCTCACCAGAAGGCACAATAAATCCATCCATAAATAGAGCTAGCCTAACCTGTGATTTAGAGTAGGAAAACCAATTCAAAATTAATTACTCCAAACCTTCACCTAATTTCAGCAATTGAGAGTGTGATAAAACCCATATTTTGAAAAAAAGCGTATTGTAGAGAGCACTTATTACATACATTTATAAATAGTATGTGTTGGGCGCCTTTCCTGACGAAATAACTAATCACATGCAATGTAAAACAGCAAAAAATCGATCTTCAAGAGAATACAGCACAAGCTTAGTTGATTGAAACAAACTCTTGGACAATCCAGAAATTCGGGAAATTGGTGCCCTAACCCAGCATTCACAATAGCTCTACTAACCCATACCAACACACTAGCCATACATACTTCAGTTTTCATGTATCGTTAAAAATTCACCGTGATCCTTCATATAAACACGATCATCAATATGCCTAATCATGCCATACAGCAAAACGAGACTCAATTGCGGATGAGAACGACAACATTCAATTGTAAATACTCAAGAAAAAAGTAGGAGGCAAGAGGAAGGTCAGCCTAGGAAACGTCACGCTACACGTCAGGGTAACACAATAGCAGTTGAAAGCATTTCTCCGACCGAGTGACAACGACTTAGAGGCTGTGTCGATCAATAAAAAGTAATAAGACGACTGATGGCCCAAACTCTTAATAGCGATTGTTTTTTATACCAGGCGTCAACATCGCTAACGGTCCTACATAAGCTCAGAGACAGACTACCAGAATGCGTCAAAACGAACAAATAGAAAGCATCCACAAAGCCACTCAGGGAAGAAGACGTTAAAGTGCTCTTATAATAGGCAAGCTAGCGTGGGACTTTTGGAGGTATAGAGAACAAGATGATGTGGCCGTTTGTATGGGCGCGGTCTCCTTTCGTCGTATAGACGTTGTTTGACCTTGTTTTCGAAATTTGGTAATGTTGGTAGGACAACCTAGTCTGGAATCCATAGCATGAATGCTAATTTCCAGAGTCGGAGTGTGGACGGGGTACATTCCCAGACATTTCGCCGACATTATCAATGAGCATTTCCAGTCTTAGGGCCACACTACAACGGGTCAGAGACAAATGAAGTCGATCCTTTGACTAATTGTCTGCTAAACATTTGTTGTATCTCTCCTGCCCTGGGCTATTCACATATCCTATATCCTCATACCACCCTTTTACTATGACAATTTCTTACTTAAATGTCATATGGTGTGCCCTTTTTTAACGGATATCAAGAGAACTCTCCAAACCCCGCGCTGGCTTTTCATCCCCTCATCTCGCAATCCTCTTCCCATAGGTCTTATTAGAGTCTCCCTCTTGCCCCGCAGGATCCGCCTCCTACCTTCCTGGTTTAGGTATTTTACTCAACCCCTGCCACCCAATCTGTACTATTTGA